GTTGGGTCACCTTTCTTTGGGATGGGAACAAATATCGATCTCTTCCAGTCAGGTGGCCAAGTGGTTGTTCTCCAGATGGTTGTACAGGATGTTAAAAAGATAGGAACTTTACTTAGCTGGGAGCAAGGAAAAAAGACTTTTGTGAGGAGATCCATTTAACCTCAGGTGAGAATAAAGGGGAGGAGTAGCTAGGCAAAGACACAGAGATATAAACCAATTGGGTACAGGGCCCTGAAAAGAGAAGGAGCCTGTCACATGAGGAATGACAAGAGCCTATGTAACCGGCAAATTATGAGGAAGGAGAGATGTGAGAAGAGAAGGGGGAGGTAGGAGGTACATAACAGTGGTGATGATGTGGGGATTTAACCTTATCAGTGGGAAATACAGTTTTCTTCTTAAAATCTATTATACAACAGAATGGATCTTTTTTTAAAAGACAACTGCATTTCCCACTGAACTAAGGAATAATGGTTTTGTAAAATATTCTGAACATGGGAAAGCCTAGAGAGCATTATGTTGAGTGAACTAACTTGGCCTTATAAGGATAAATACTGCAAAGTGCACCATTATAGTAAAAATAGAAAACAAGAAAGATGCATATAAATGTCCAAAAGGGGAAGGAGGAAAAAGGAAGGGGGTAGAAATCACTAGGATAACAGAGTTTAATGGGTGGATTAGGGGGAGAGTAAGGGAAGATTCAATGGGGACCAGAAAAGACGACATAATAATAGGCCTAGATCAATGGCAATGAATTATATGGGATACAGTATATAGGAATGATTGTATGAAATATAATGTAACTGAGAGATTGTATAGAACACAATGTATATGAATGAAAAACAATGTAAATTAATTATTGGATGAAAACTAATACAAGTATTTTCTAAAAAGGAAGACTCTAACTGTCAAGTGGATTGAATAAGGACAACAAGGAGGCTAGAAAGCTCTGATAGTAAATGAGGAGAAACATATTGGTGGGTCAGACAAGTGAAGGTGGTGGGAGGGTGGGGAGAAGCACACAGATTCAAAGTATATCCCTCATGCCTAATACACTGCCTGACAGTACAGGAATTCAGTAACTTGTTGACTGAGTGTCTTCAAGCAGTGTTACTATTGCTCTCAGGTGTCTACTGACTCCAGATGAATGTCCCTGCCCCCAGCATCATCTAGTCGGCACAGCAAGTACACGTTGAAGAAATGATTAATAAATTCATAAACCAGTAGCAAGACTTTACTCAGGAAAACCTCTTGATGTTTATAAACTTTGTGAAACAAAATGCTTGTTCCCATCTTGACAATGGGAGGTTTTAGAAGCCAGATAGTGAGTTCTGCTTTGTGACTTCCCAAGCTTGTTAGAGAAATGTATTATTTAAAACAGCCCAGAGCTATGCTGCTGGATACACAGTAAAACACGAAGGGCGCTGAAATAACCCTTTCATTAAAAAGGACAGAAAGCAGAGCTGTGCTTAGAGAATTTATATTCTACTTTCCTTCTTTTACAAATATGGTTTCTGTCAGGCCTACTTTAAAAAGCAAAATATTTTTATTATCCATTAGAAACAAACATCTGAAAGTTGGACCATGAAGAGGATGGTGGAAGAAGAATCAGTGCCTTTGAACTGTGATGTTGGAGAGGGTACTGACTATTCCATAGACTGCCAAAAGAACAAACAAGCCGGCCTGGAGGAACTGCAACCAGGGTTCTCCTTAGAGGTGAAGTCGGAGAACCTTTGTCCCACATACTTGAGCATGTGGTCAGGAAGGAGCCAGTCCTTGGGAAAAGACATCATGCTGGGAAAGGGGGAGGGTGCGAGTAAAAAGAAAATCTTCAACCAAATGGGACTCTCACAAGGGCCTCGAGCACAGAAGAGAACATGAGGACGGCACAGAACAGGGCAAAGGTCTGTTAGTTATAGGGTCACTATAAGAAGTTGTTGATGCAATGGCACTCAATAGCAACCCTAGAAACAAATTCAAATGCAGAGGTAAGATATTTTCCTATATTCTGATAAAAATACAAGGTCAGAACACACAATGCTTTTCCCATGTAACTGAAGAATTTCAAACTTGTGTCTATTAGATTTCCTTCACTAAAACATGAAACAAAGACCACTGGGGAAACTCCAATTATTTAGTGAAGTGTGAATAAGGCAATCTATGGACCCAGTCAACATTCAAAACTGAGTCATTAATTTTGGCATTTCCATTCCTAGTAAGGTCAAGAGCATTAATAACAGGTTAGAAAAGAGGTAATCTGTCTTATTTAGGGAGCTGCTGTTCTCTGGCTAGGACTAAGTCAAACCTAAAACACTGGCTGATTCTAAGAAAGCTTTAAATCAAAGTTTTAGAGATAAGCTTGCACAGGAGAAAGATGGGTCTTTAGCTACAAGTCTGTACCAAAGTTGAGTAGCCAAGGTTTCTTGCACAAATCTATTCTAGGTCAACTTCTTTGCATCCCCAGGAATGCTTCTTAAAAGTCTCAAATACAGATGACAGATCAGAAGAGTAAGAGGGCTGAACTGAATTTTTAGATGTGGAGTTGAAAAGTCTTGAAAACAAAATATCATTTGGTTTCTCTGATGTTTGAATCGGCCAGAGGCTCTAAAGGAGAAAGACAGGCAGTATCCTCATGTTACGAGTTAAAGCCTTGGACCCCACGGAGAATCACTGTAAGTGGAACCTACTCGAAAGTAGTAGGAATAAGTGAGTGAAGGCAGTTTTTTGTCCTTTTAAAATGTCCCTGGAGTCTTGGAAATGCTTTCTCTGCAGAACCAGGAGGAGCTGTATGAGGGCATCAAATAGTGCGTTGGTCTGTTTATTATCTTAAAGAACCCTGACGGCCAAATAGACAATTCTTACTAAGACATTTACTCAGATTTATGTTCCTTACCACTCAAGAAAACAAGAGTATGTATTTTTAGTTAAAAGTCATATTTATGTTATTTCTTATATGCTATATAAGTAGTTGAAGGTTAATTAGCAGTATAACTAATAATGCCAGTCTCCTTCAAATAATTTTTTAAAAAGTCATATTTAAATAACAAGTTGTAAACAAATAGTTAATATCCGAATTTATATAAATAGAAAAAGTACAACTGCAATGTTGTCATTCCAATTTTATTACAAAAATTCTTTCTTCCTCTTAGTTTTTGTCACTGTAACTAGTAAAAAATTATATTTATCATTTGAAAAGCCATCTATTCTAGTATAGAAGTTAAGAGACTAAACTCTGACCATAGTGAACTATTAATTACAAAAGGAAAATTGGAAAATGGCATATGTTATGTGCAATATTTTATGGAAACTATACAAATTTATTAATGAAATAGAATCTTAAACAGTATGAACAAAACAAGTATTATTTTCATTCTCAGCATCAACTATCAGACAACAGCTAGCTCAACTGAGTTGTACAATTGTATTTTTCATAGACAAACTGTTCATAGGAAGGACTAAGTCATAAATATAATCCAAGCCTCCTATATGTAATTAGAAATGACCAATGTGTCTAAAGTAAAGTACATATTCTGAAAACAAGATGGTTCAACCCATTTTAAACCAAACACAGTTTTGAGTAAGAGTGTGAAGTACAGCATCACTCTTCATTTCAACCAAAATATCAAACCTCTGGATTATTTATTTCTTCAAGTTATACTGTTTATTGTCAGAACTCAACTTCTTTCATATGCTCTTTAACAGATGAATTTTGCTTTCTTCCTCTAGGGAAATGTCAGACTATACTAATATCTAAGAAATAAGATTAAATTAGTTTAATTACTTCATGTCGACTTGATAAGTCACTGCTTTTTAATGTAAAAACTGCCACTTGCAATTAATGACTGTTGGCACTACTTCAATTGATCAAATGTCTAACATACATAAAACATTCAAGGAAGTTCTGTGTATCTTACAGCAATTCGGTAGAGAAGTCTTGTCCCAGAGGTATGTAAATCTGAAGCACAAGAAACCGCTGGATCAGTCCCACTAGAAGAGAGGGAGAAACACACATTTACTCATATGATCAAAATGCACATACAGACATATAAAAAAGAACAATCACAGGGCATCAACAAGCCAAAGCTTCTGGCATTAAAGTAATAACAGAAAACTGCAACAGCACTACTCATGCCTTAAAGCCTCACTGTGAAAGAAAGAAGGGAAAAAGTGGCCATAAACTCAAACTCTAACAGCAAATGCTGCCTTTTAAAATCCCATTGGTGGCCTTGGTGAAATTTTTATGAAAATTTAAAAAGAAATAATTTTTTATTTACTATTTTTTTAAGGGTGCAAGAGAAGTGCATTCAACAGAGACACGTAAAATTATAGATTTCCATCAAGGAGAATGTAAAAGCATATAGCAATTCACAGTTTCAACTGCACAAACAACATAATAAAAACACCCAAAACAATAGATCAAGAAGACAATTCTAATTCTGACAGTAACAGTGAGCCATACTTAATTCATACGGTTTTAAAGATGTCCGTGCAGAGAGACTAAAGGAACATATTTTTACTTATATTGTCTATTGATAATTTAACACACATTTAATTAATTTAAAGCCCCTTAGGAGCTCTGATGACCTAGTGGCTAGAAGCTGTGCTGCAATCCCAAAAGCACATGTTTGAGGCCACCAGCTCCCCCCGCTGTTCTGTGGGAGAAGGATGGGCCACCTCCTCCTGTGCGATTAACTGCCGCTGAAAACCCATCGGAAGGTCATCTTTGGGTCAGTTCTGACTTTATGGTACACAACAACAAAGCCCACTAACAAAGAACTGTTTATTTTTATTCCTCATCACCAGTTTCAATTGCTTTAAAAATATTTGGAGAAAAAGCCAATCTCTACAATCTCTACAGATAGCTGTTCAATTTGACTTACCGCTGTCATCTACTCACTCAATTCCTTTCCTTTTAGGTATTGAACTTTTGCTTGCTCTCTCAATTCTGAGGCTCTTAACAGATGTTTTAGGACTGCTGCCTCCCACAACATGCCTTTTAGGAACTTACTTTCCTGATGAGGAACTTTGGAGGAGGAAATAGATGTCTGCATTTATCTGGAGCCACTAGAAATCTAATACAGCAGGCCACCACATGAAAATACTTCAAGGAAGAGAAATTTTAGACCCATTTTCTTCTTTTGTATATTCCATTTTCTATTTATTCTGACTCAGCAGGCAAAGTAAATTTAATATTTTAAAGTTGTCATTGTTGGTGGTGCCATTAAATTGGAACTGACTCATTGCAGGTCAAATCCATCAGGAGACCCTCTAGCAGGTCTGCTGAGGTTAAAATCACAGGAGAGGAGATTGCCCATCTTGCTCCTGTGCAGACACTGGAGGATTCAAATGCCTATCTTTGGTTTGGCAGTGCCAATATTCATGAGTCGGCCACCAGAGCTTGTAGAGAGTCCCCAAAAGGATCTAACTCTAGTTTATAATCCCTGTGATTAACTCACTTAAGAGCATTACTAAAGCAACTTCAGTTCCTATGTTTTATTCTAAATTTCATTTCTCAAAAATAAAGATCCTTGGTAAAATATGTTTAATAACTTTTAACAAAAATATTCAAGGATCACTTTTACCTAAAAATAATAAGGTAAACTAGTAAAACATGTATGGGGTCCCAAGGGGGAAGGGGTGCTACCAGAGGGGTGAGGAGGGGTAACAGCGAAACTACAGGGTTATACAGCATGGTGGGTGGAGGGAGGGAGTGAAAGAAATGGGAAGAATCCGGTGGGAACTTAAAAAGACTGGGTCATGATGGTCAAGGTCCAATGGTGATTGAGTTTATACAACATGATGCATGGGAAGGATTGGACGAAACAGAATATGAATGAAGAATAGTGTGAAATACATGGACAAACACAATATGAATGAAGAATAGTGTGAAACACAATCTATGTGAACTTTGTGAGCAAACCAATATAGAATAAAATAAAAAAATTCAAACAAACAAAAAAATAGGTCCGGTAAAATGAAAAGTAAAAGATATTTTTAAAAAGTAATAAGCTAACAATTAGTTTCAGAGAACCACCAGTAGTGTAAATAAAGTAATAAAAACAGAGGATAACAGAGTCTGACTCAGAAAACTCCCCAAGAATCTGATTCTACCATATTTCTGAGGAACCTCAGTAAGCCGTTCAGTCAGAGTACTGGACTACAAACCCAAAGTGGGATATCGAGATGAGGCTGACTTAAATGCACTGTCATCAACCAATCTCTGTCACGTATCTTCCATCAACTGGCCCTATGATGCCGTTACATTGAATAATGGCTTCGGGAAATGCAGCTGAGTGATGACCAGGATAAATAAAATCAGGCCACTGTTTAAGAAAACTCCCTAATTTGTTACAAATCTCACTGAATCAGCACAATGTTCTTGGCAAACATAAAGAGCACACTATAAGGCATTTCTGTATGAATATTTTTAGACACAAAAGATCCTGGCCTCAAAAAAAGAACACTTCGTATCTCAACTTTCGCAAATATAGAAAGACCTAGTTTCCAGAAAGCGTCGTTTCTAAGATTAAAAGAGGTATGACAATGCCATATGGTGATGATCTGACAAAGGAGACATGGCTTTGATAATGTTTGACACATACTGATCTGTGTGTCAGAAATGCTAAACAAACTCTAGAATGGCATTTTGTCCAGGAGCCTTTAAATTTAAACTGACTCTTAATGCTACAATATACTAAAATACACTTTCTTTAAGTAATGATGAAAATGAACCAGCTGTTAATTTTTAAGAAAAAATGTCCATCAAATAAATAAAATTAATAACAAATCAGCTTTTTACTTGAACATACCATTATCTGGCAGTTTTATAACCTGCTCTCTGCCTGAAACTCAAGATACAAACCATCTGTCTTCTTTAAAGGGCTAGACGTGTTCGTTTGTTTGTTTTTTTTCAAGAACAAATTCTTTCAATTTCCCTCATCCTCCCCAACAAATTGTACAAACCCATGATTAACACCACCACCACCACCCCCCGCATATCCTCATCCCTCTGCTTCCAACCTCTTCTATCCCTTTTGAATCTTTATACTCATTCTACAATAAAAGATTTATACAATATTTTTCCTTGTGGGACTGAGTTAGTCCACTCAGCATAATACTCTCCAGTCCCTCCCACGTTAGGTAATAATTTACAAAATCACTGTTATAAAATGCTGCATAGTATTCCATTGTGTGACTGTACCATAATTTCTCATTCGTTTGTGATTGGATATTTGGGCTGTTTCCATTTTCTTGTGATGGTGAATAATGCTGCTATGAACAATAGTGTACATATCTCCATTTGTGCCTCAGATTTTTAAAAACAAATATTTTAAGATACATTTAACTGGTAAATATATTTTATTTTTTCCAAATATCAACATTTTTTAAACAGTAGCTACATTGCTGTTTTATTATAGCAAGTAAGTACCAAGAACAAATTTATTAACAGTAATTCTCAGTATTTTACCCTCAAAGTTAAAAAAGTAACAAAAATGTTACTGATTTAAAAATGTAGTCTTATGACAGATTTTAACACATATTCATTTAAAAAGCTACATGGTACAAAAACAGATTGTACACCTCATATATACTTTACTAAAGTAACACTGCCCAAGGACTTGAGATTAAAATAGTCATTCTTTACAAGAGTCCTGAAAAAAATCACAACTAAAGTTATTATACTGTTTCTATTAGAACCCTCGTAAGCATAGCACACTAAACTGCACCCTCTCATCTTCAATGAAGAAGATCGGAAGCCATTAATCTTGAACAAGTGGGTAAGGCGTTATACTGCAAACTCAAAGGGACATAGTTCAAATCCTGATCCACAGAACAAAGATGAGCAACCTCCTCCTGAATTATTTATGTTGTTGTTGTCGTCGTTCAGTGCCTTTGAGTCATAGGCGACTCATAGCGACCCTATGAACGAAAGTCCTGGACACCTGTATAACTTTCATCCTTTCTCCAAGCTCATTGTGCTTCCAGATGACTCGACGGCACTTAACAACAACAACAGCACAGAGAGAGAGAGAGAAAGCATGCGTGTGAGCGCGCAGTTGGCCGAGGGAACTAAAGTCATGCTCCCAAGCCAAAGGTGGGTGACTCTACTCTGCGGCCCTCAGGTCTGCCTTTAATTGTTTCTGGTGAAATATTCTTCTACAGCACGCAACCCCGGTATATCCACTTGCTGTACAGAGGTAACTCATGGTTGCTGTGAAGCCGAACACTGTGACACTGATGTGTCAAATGCGAGAATGGTTACCCATGGTGGATAGTGTTTGTTGAAGCTCCCTGATTATTACAAGCTTGGAAGTAGGGGTGGCATCCATAATAGCTTGCCTCTGGAAACCCACCAGAGGCTCAGCTAAGAGTCAGTTCTGTATGGAGAACATATAACAGCAACATTTTCTTTGGGCAAATTAGAAATGTCCCTGGGCCCTTTGATTTTTTTTTCATCTCTTAAAATGAGGTTAATAATTTAGACCTATACAACTCTACTTTTCTCTAAGCCATGTAGGTCTTGGAAAATGTGCAGCCAGAATATTCCTTGAACACAAGAATGACAAAAGTTTGTCTCACATTCTTTGGGCATGTTGCTAAAGAGGTTACTCATTGGAGGGTCAACAAAAGAGAAGAAGCTCCTCAACTAGATGGATTGACACAGTGATTGAAGCAATGGGCTCAAGTGTGTCAGATGATGAGGGCGGCATAGGATAGGGTTATGATCTGTTGTTCAGAGGATGCCTATGAGTCATAATCGAATTGACAGCACCTAAAAACAACTATTCAGATCTATGCCTTATAGTCTGTATGAAATAAATTGGGTCATTTATATAGCACCTACTAAGTATAAGGCTAAAGTGGTGAGTGAGGTCTTTTGCAGTAAAAAGACATGATCTCTGTTGTTCAGAAGCATATATGTGTGTGTATATATACATACATATATGTACACATATAAATATACATACACACATATAAATATACAT